CTGCGTTTTATTCAGATGCTGCTGAGCTCATGCGCGCGACAGTCGAGACGCTGGAAAAGCATGGTGCCTTTGAGGGCAGTTCGATGCCACGTGTACTACTGGATGGTCGAGTTTCACTAGAAGACACTGCCTGTCAACTTGATCACTTGCTCTACCTCTCTTTCGACTCTAGCTTTTCCTTCACACTCGCCGCCATTATCTTCAAGGGTGTCCGCCACAATCACCTCAGATCCTCTGCGGAGCTCGTTCTGCGGAGTTTGCTGTTAGTCACCACACAATGTGATAGACAAATTGAGTATGGCTCCGCTTCAGGCCTGTGTCCAGATGCACTTGGTTACTTCATCGCCTTGCTCCCCTTCTGCACGACACACGAGGCTTATGTACAACTCCTACAAGACTGTAAAGGGGAAGAGTTTTTGCCAGCATCCAACTCCTCTCGCCCACGTCAAAATGATCTCGTTCCTCGCGTTTCCGTCGAATTGCTGTCTCTGACAGATAGCACTTCCGCACTTTTCACCGTCTCGTTTGCGAGCACATTGTTGACCACTGCACAAGGTGACGATGCCGAGACCGAGATATTGTATAATTTGCTGGCAGATATCGGCGTTGCACACCCTGAAACAGTTTCAATTATGTAAGTCCTAATTTATGATCAACCTTCTTGTGCTGATAGTTGTCTATAAGCTACGACATCCTGCAGGACAGGATCAAAGATGCTTTCGCCAATTCTTCCAATGCTGCAATCATTCGAGCTGTGACAAGCATCTTCCGCAATGCACAGGACTCACTGCGCCTGGGATCAATACACTCCATGTCTGTATCTACGCTCAGCACGGTGGATGAAGGCAATTCAGCGCAAAGCCTGAAACAAAAATTGGAAGATTTGGGTATGGAAGGCCTCACAACGAGCTTCCAGTTCTTGACTCCCAATCGAATTCATTGGTCGAAGATTGCTGCTTGGATATCTGAACTAATTCTAAAAATTGTTGGCCTGGAATAATCTTTCAGCAGAATGCATTTTCTTCATGGACCGTTATGTATAGAGCATGTATTGTACTTCTAACTTGCATCGTTTCAGGTCTGTCTTCCACACATACATATAATTACACTGATTGCTAGTATTATTACTGCTAATGCCGTGTCATTCCACGACACAGGGTACGCATACGATTGAATACATATCATTATTATCTTGCTTCACTGTGTCAGCGTGCTGGCAGATCAAGATCTCAGCGTTCCCACGACATCTATATATTGTTGCCATTCTAAGCACACCTCGTTCATACCCTATTACTTACTGCACACTATATATTCTCGTCTTTCCCGTCAAGCTTCACGACCACCCATTCTTTTACAACGTTCAATTGACTCGACTCGCCATGCACGATAGGTCTACCTTGGATTGTTGTTCGGCTATCCTAGATACAATGGACGCAAGCAGCCTTTACCATGCCAATAGTAACATCGACGACCTGACTCTAGCTCTGATGAATCTTTCCCAAGTATCGTCCTCGGAGTCTCAGCAGAACATATCCTGCTGTTGTGGTAGCACCGAGTGTCAAGCGACGAAGAATTGGCTGGACTCGAAGGAGAAGCTCGAGAAACGGTTGCATCTCAGTGCAGGTATGTCTTTGTGTTGTCTCCAGTGCGAGCGGTCCGCAAACATGTGCACAGAGGTTGGCTCTGCTCTACTGCAGCGGCATGAGGCATACGTCTGTCAGCATGAGGTACGTAAAGCCCCGATCGCAACATGCCTTTATAGCTTATTGTATATCAGTCTAATGTGCACACCCCGCGTGGTGCCTCAGGCGATCTTGCGTATGAGTCGCTTCATGACATGCATGGCGAGGTCAATTCACCTATGGCTGAGCTGATGAAAGATAATGCCATCCTGGAGAAGGTTGGAGTCTTCCTTACAAAATGGGTTGTATTAACACTTCGATTCTAGCGGCTAACGCAAGCGTTATTGAACTGTGAAGTAGCTGAGGCATCACATAAGACTGTACTTCTGGAGCTAGAGGAAGCTCGGACGTCGGTGACACGCCTCACTGCATACCAGGCACGTACTGTAGGGATTGAATCTCGACTGGCTGCTACTCTCCAAGAGAATGATGACCTTCGGCAAGAGCAAGAAAGTGAAGCACAAAAGGCAAAGAATGCAGAAGCATGTATATCTGCTCTCAAAGACCGTACTGGTGAAGTTTCCTCGTTGTCTCTAAATCAGGTGTTGCTGATCATCTGCCCGTGACATAGATAAGCTACGAACTGAGGTTCGTCGATTGCAAGCTGACCTCGAACTTCGACGCTTGCAAAGATTAGAATCGTCAGAATCTTTACTACAAGGTGTCCGCTCTCGTTTAGAAGATCTGCATCACATGGTAAGGGTCATGCACAAACGTATGTAGCGAATCACCAATGATCACCTTCAGCACACTAGCTCGGTGATAATCGAGGACTCAGAGGTCATGAAAGTGCTGGAGTCGCTAGTCTCTGACAATGAGATCCTTAAGACCGACAATAAGGAGCTCCACAAGCTTCTCATCGAGTCAAGAGAAAACCTTCAAGTGCTGCAATCACAAGTGGAAGAGAACATCAACTTTCCACCTGCAGTACGAGGTCCGCTTTTCAATATCAAATTTCAGTGCGCGGCAACTTACGGTGTTGTGATTAGTGGATACGCCTTCGAGACATTCACGGAGGGGAAGTAGCCCATCGTCATATGTTCGAGATTCGGTACGAGGATGTATACTCATCCGAATTACTATTTATTCACGATTGACTCAGCTACTAAACTCTGACAAACGTCCGTTAAGCTCAGAGCCAAGGGTTCGTCGTGTCTTTGTGAGTGTATCTCCCTCACACGTACGGCCAATGTCTTACGCGGATCTCAAGGAGCCGCTCACGCCCGAGACTAGCCAGCGCCCACTTTCTCCAGCAGAGTCAATGGTTCCCTCAGAAACAAAGTATACCAACCTGTACCCACAATACCCATCTTCTCACTTCAGCTCGGATGTGGAGGAGTTCGACCTTGATCACCACTCGTTACTCCCCAATCCCGATCAGTGTTCCAAGGCAGTGCAGACAGACAGCTGTCTAGGGGTGCATCAAATGCCGTCTCTCAACGAGCTTGTATCATCATTTCCTCACGATGGCCGATCGGATACCTCCTCATTTCAGGATGGTCAACCCTCACACCTCTCTGCTCTCCTGGAACGGATGATGTCACTCCTGTTGCGTATGTCGCAGGCAGATGCGCTGACTCTGACAAATCGCTTAAAACGTCAGCATCTGCGTGGCGCGGACGTTAAGCACCTATCACGCGCGACAGTAAGCGGTATTCTTTCGGAGATCACCCAGCTGCGTGCACAGTACCGCATGCTGCTGGAGGATGAGAAAGTTAGCCTCACTTGCACGAGAAAGGATCTGCGTGGATTGTTCAAATTTTTTAAGGACGTGTTCGAGGAACTCGGGCAGCTGCGTGTCACGCTGAATGATGTCATTCTAGAGCCTTCTATAGCACAAAGGGTTAGTGAGATGGCGCTGGACCCTGCAAAGGCGGAGGCGATGGAGAAAGAGAGTAAGGCGTCTGGACCGGGCTCAAGTTGGATGGTCCCATTCTCGAAGCTCTTCGGTTCATCGCTAAGCGAGTCGAGCACTCACCCTTCTCAATCACCCCCTAGACCTGTAAGCCGAGGTCGTGGTGTCATTCATCAGCCACGTCCAGTGCCAAAGCTGGGCCCGGCGCTTGCTGCATCTGCTACCATAGTCAACGTCGAATTCTCCGGGGCGGGCATTGGAAAGTCTGTAACAAGCACATTCTCAGCTCATCCTACAAATGAAGCACATACGTTTGGCCCGATATCTCACATTGATACCATTCCTCGTCCTCCTACGTCAACCTCAAATGTACGCAGCGTCATGGGCATTTTCGCAGGTGCACCCCACCCAAATGATGCCGCAGACCCATGGGTAGTTCTTCCCCGTGCTCCTCGCCGTGTCCGTTCCACATTCTTCAAAGTAGATGAGCCCTCGCAAAGCGATACCACGACTATTGACAGATCCCTCGCGTACAAGCGGAGCAATTCGCACCTGTCACGCGAGATTGGCACTGACACTAGCCCAGAGCATGGCGAAGTGGATGATATCCCTGGCCCCCTCCTCGAGCGTACCCTGCGTAGACGGGGTCTCTCAGATTCATCTATCCATTCAACGTACATGAACCATGTCGAACAACGTACACCCACTGAACCCGGCACCGGCGGCTCAGTATTGCAGACCCTCAGCAGGACGATGAGAAACTTCAGCTTCGCTACGAGTCAGACGGTGTCAGGCTCAACGACATCACCATTCCTACCTAGTCGCGTGCCAGACGAGGCTGGTCCGCGGGAAGGTCTTGATATGCCACGCCCTCATCCTCGTAGAGCAGCCACTCCGACGCTATCATCACTCATGCCAAACTTCAACTTGACATCATGGGCTGCTGCCGGTGCCGCATTGGAGAATCCCCACTCAGGGCCACGAGCAATGTACTATGATAGCGTCCGAGAGGATTCTATCATGCCCCGACCATGAGAAGATCAGAGGAGGGACACTTAAGGTGACAGTATCGATGAACTTAATCGGCGTTTTTATATTAGGGAAACTGTAGTTTATCTATTGAAGAAGACGTACGTGCAGTGCTTGACTTAATTGCTACGCCCCTTCTCGTTGCAATGTTATTGTATCATATGAAGCAGAACACTACATAATATTTGACGTTCTTTTGCATACATAGTGCTATGACAATTTGGCATTAGATATAAAGTATACTTGAGGATAATGATACATGCGAAGCTCGTAGAATGCAAACGGAGGCTAGAGCGTATTTCAAGGGTATTCGACGAGATACCCACCATTAATGGAAAGGGTCTTGCAGGCAAGTATTGAGTGTATCAGAGCTGTCAGTCAAGATCGATCGTTAGTTAGAAAAATGAGGTTTGGCAAAACCTCAACCGACCTATTATTTCAGGAGGAAAAATATCAGGTACGATCATATTTACTCTGACGTGAACGCCTTTCTCCTGAATTCTTACGCAAGTGAAGTGAACGGCGACCGCCTTCGAGACACTGTGCTTGTAGTGGTGCTGCGTGATATGAGTGATACTAGTGGAAACGAGGTAATGTTGAGGACCGATTCGTGTTGACTTGCTGAGAGAAATCGTTTTGAGAAGGGGCAAGAAGAATGTGGTAGTCGTGAAGAAATAGCCAATATCCTATGGACATTCTCCCAGCTGGCTTGGTCCTCGTCCAAAAGCCCCATTAGGATATCCTTGGCACTCTGATCACCTTCGCGACGTTGCTCTTATCCTCGCTGATGCCTGGCAGTGTTGTTCATGAGTAGGTCAATGATCGTTCTGCTTGCTGATCTCCTGGACCAATTGCCTTTCGATGTAATGTCACAAGCGACCGGAATAAGTTTCTCCTTGATGAACAAGGGAAGAGCTCCATTATTTTACGCTGTATTCAGGGACGATTCGGGTTCCACTTCCCGACACGACGCAGACCCGGTCCTCGACATTGAACAAGTCTTTCACAACAAATTTTGGGTTTTCCGTGGACATTCGAAACAGAGCTTAATGTTCTCAGAATTGAATGGACTTACGGGGGACCGCAAGTACGTATGGTCTCAGCAGAAATCTGGTCGTAGAAATGATAGCTGATCGTAGTAGCGGAAAGCAAAAGAATGAGGAACGACGAGAAGGATCATCACGTTGGAGGTCACATCTATGTGTGACATGCTGTGACTTACGGTGACCTTCGCGTGACTGCCACTAGTTCACCCATGACATAATTCCAAGTTCCCATCCCGTATCGAATGATTCAAATCGCCTGTTCATTCTTCGACGCCTAGAGTCAGTTAATCATGATGATAGCTCAAACTTACGCCGAGTGCAACGGAATTTGGCGTCAGTATAGATTTCCTTCATTGTGATCTAGACTCTAGTTCAGTAATAATCTTCAAGTTGTCTGACGACTTATGGTTATCAGGTTTTCAGCACCCACTGGGCTCGTTGTATTGCGTCAGTAATTCCGTTCTGTCTGTGCGCTCGTCTCATTCATATATATACTGACACTAAGACTCTTACTCCCTTGTCCTGGTTCCTGCAGCTAGCAGGTATGTGCCACTGATACTCATTCAGTAATGTTCGTGGCAAGTGAGCCGCAAGTCGGACAACTCGAGCTAACAGGATGTTGTTACTTTGTGATGCAGGAGTTTTGACTGAAACAAGAAGGTCGTCTTATGATTTAATACGAACCAACCCCTGGAAAATGACGTCTGTTGTCACCAGACCAAAGTTGTTACACAACTGCAACGATAGCGTTGGGCCCTTTTGAAAGAGACAACTATCATATATGGCTCTTCCTCTACATTTCTCGGCGTTCCCTAGTACGTACATCCAAATCGGCAAATGGGTATTGATTGATAGCATATAACCGTTGTTGGCGCTACCCTGGTTTCTCCGTTCTAAATTTCACTTTGATAGTATTTGACAACATCTGTGGCAGTTTCGACTGTCTGCGTGACGTCGATCACAAGAGACTTCACACAACTTTAGAAAACCACATCGCATGACAACAGTACATCTACGAACCTGGGTTTCACGGCTACGCCCGCCAGCCAAACTACTCGGAGTATTCATGTTCACGCTTTGGTTTGGCACGCTTCGAAGGATTAATCTGCCGTTTAGCCTACAACCGCGTGAGCGCGTCGCCAAATCAGTCAAAAACTTAGCTCACGATGCAAGTAACGAGTTCGCATTCACTGAGACGCAAGACTACATAAGTGGCTTGAATATCTGCATTTTACAGACACAGACCAGTTGCAAGGTTTGCATATAATCCAACCCATATGTCTGCAAAAGGTTCACTTTCCGGCGAAGGAGAGATACCCTGCCGGATCACTCACAATTGTGCTTCATTGCCAGGAACTACTCCTTCAAAATTAGTCCAGTACTTTGCATCTGGGAAAGGATCTCACGAAGCTCATAATAAAGACCACGACCAAACTTGACATAACATCAACCGCAACACTGCGCCAGGAGGTTTTGTCACATACCTAGTAATAATGCCGGTCTCTGCATGGTGATTGAAAGGGTGAGTTATGTCTACCAGAAGGTGTACAATATCAGTGCTCACCAAGAGTCCACAAAACCAGACGGTCAATTATGGTCGTTGTACTGTAAATCATTATGACGGAACGAATTGGGATTAATTTAACGTGCCTCGCAAATGTCGACGACCGTTGTTTCCTCAGGTACCACACCATGGACAGGGTAAGTGTCAACTCACAAACCAGACGAGAGGTGAGCGAAAGCGTGATCAGTCTGTTTTCATCAGTTTCGAATGTCAGAAGGTCTGTCATGGTGAAAGCTTTCACTGTCATCGTGAGCGCGATAGACTGAGCTAATAAGCATAGTGCCAGCGAGATGAGAGGCAATGTAAGTGATTTCGAAAGTTTCCACAGCCGGAACGCGAAGGATGACTACATGTATGTTAGTCAGAATGTTCATCATATTCGATGAAGAATCATACCTCTACCAGCGCCCCTGTAATTGCAGTGAAGAGGATAGCCGCGTCTGCTCCCAGCGGAAAGATCGACAGCGTGAGAGGGTTGCCGTAGCCACTGACAGCAACTTTCCACAGTGTCGCTGATACGCAAATCACATGTGCAATCTGCGATGCGCTGTGTAATTTGATTGGCTTGGTGAAACAGGGAGAAGAGCGACATAAGGCACTTACAGAATGGCTGCCACCTGGAAACATGGCGTTATTAGCGACTTTTATTCTCGATTCACATGCTGGGTTCACCGACCGTGAGCTTCATCCCTCGATGATCTTTGGGGAAATTTGCATAATAGACATGAGTCTGAATGGCAAGACCGCCGAAGAGGCAGGCGTTAACGAGTGCACCAAGCACCACCGGCCCAATCATGATGTATGCATTAAAAGGAGGCAGTACATTCTGTAGGGCGGTTGAGATGCTTGGATTAGTGATAATCATGATGTAGTATATGTTACCTTGGTCCACTTTTGCAAGTCATATATATGACCTGCCGTTAGTCACCGCAGCCGATTCAGGCTGTACATACTGCCTTCCATCACGGAATTGGCGTAAGTCTTGTGTAAAAATTAATCTCGATATGATTCGATGATAATAGGGACGTTCAAAGTTGGGCGCCCACGCCCACCGCCCACGCCCATGACCCCTTCGCCCACGCGTCGTCACCTAAAATGTAGTTTGCATAATTAGATAATACAAAGTAATTCTGAAAATTTATTGGTTTGTTACCTTCACTCACCATCAATCAGATCTGCGCATATGGCGAAGAAGAAGGATAACGGCGTCACAATCCCGGAGATTGTCTGGACTGATGACTTGGTCTGGCAGCTATTGGCGCAGATTGAACTATCGGAGAACAGAGTCGTGCTTCTAGGCAAACGGAAGAAGGGCAAGGTAAGTGAGTCAAAGTTGTCATATATGATACGAGATATGATGTTTCTGTGTCAGAACACGTCAGGTGATAGCAAAGTGACAGTGTATCAGCGCATGGCGGCTGCCGTTTTCCCGCAATTGCACAGCCAGAATGCTGTCGCAATGGGGGACCGAGTCAAATGAAAGTATGAGTAGTGAGTGCTGTGCTTTTCTCACTATTTTTCAGCTTACAATTCTGCTCAGCTTAACAAAAAAATACAAGGTGCATGCTCGACGTCTCCGAACAACTGGTGAAGGGGTCCAATCTGATGCGTGTTACGACTGGGATAGTTCTGCTGTTGCCGGTCAAGATAGACCTGTCGGGCGAACAGTTCGTCGGCCTTCCTAATACAAGGAAGGTTTCTGGTGGTTCCTACTGCACGAGCCGCGGCTTCTATGCAGGATCAGCGGCGAGTGGTTTTAGCACTTCTGCCTAGGCGGTGAGTGGTTTTAGCACTTCTACCGCAATCAAGGGTTTCAGGCTAAGACAGTGAGTGACTGCCTTAGAATCAGAGTTCAGGCTACTAAGGGTGGAGACCTTAGTAGATCAGGTTTCAAGGGGGAAAACCCAGTAGATTAAGTTAAGGAATATATCTATGGTACATGGGTTTATATAGGTAAAAGGAGACGGCGTAGCCGCGACAAGAAAAGTAACAGAGATAGGAAAAAGAGTACAACCTATCATGATAGCAAAGATAGGTGAAACCGCCATGCGGCGCAAGATAGTATCTATGTTACAATCAGAAGGAAGAGAGGTGCGGACAGCCCGCTTGATAAGAGAATAGCCGAGTCTAGATGGGTCTAGAGTCGGTGGCATGGTTACAAGAAAAGAAAAATGAAATAGGAGTAAATGTTATTGTAACATTACCCCGGTGTAACCGTTGAAGTCTCCGACTTCAATCCATCCTAGCATCGTCATAGTAGACGGGGTCTGCTTCGGCGTTGTTATAGTCGTCAAAGTCCGTTGAGGAGCTTGGCTGGTTGCGATAGTTTTCATCGGCTTGTTCACATTCTTGCTCATAGAATGCTCTCTGGTCTGCCTCCCAATTGCGGAGGGCTTCATAGAATCCGTCATCTGTATAGACGATCGGAAGTGGGTAGGTTCCTCTAAGGTCTTTACAATAGACCGAGAGGTGTCCAGGGGCTGATGGCATGGCATACCACGCAGGAGTACTGAGGGCAGTTCTTGTGACGATGCCCATATTCTTTACAGATGCGGCATTTGACGTTGTCAAAGCCCGGTTTCTTTGCGGAGATGCGAGGAGGTGGGGATGGAGATGTGAGGTCAATAACCTCTCTTTCTTTCTGCTTGTCTGCCCTCATGCAGCGCCTTCGAGCGATCTGGTATGCGGTAGGTTTTCTTCCTCTAGTGGCAACCTGTGGTTGTGGCGCTCTGATAGGATGAGGGGCGGGAGACGGGTTACGATCAGGTGACTGATGACGGGAGAGAGGACGAGGAGGAGAAGGCGGATAGTTCAATAAGACGAGTGGTTCTGATGATGTTAATAACGGCAGCAATTATCGCTGCGCTCCTTGCTGGGCGTTCGGCGAGCTTTCTTTCCAGCTCGAGTGCGTGTTGCTCAGATAGTAGCGTTGCTTCAAGGAGGGCGTCTCCCTCAATACGATCAATGACGGTGAAATATAGAGAGGACGAAAGTGATACGTCGGTATCCTCTGACGATGAGGAGTCGGTGACGGAGGACGTAAGGGAGGATTGTTCATCTAATATGAATCGTTCTGTCTGGGAGATAGGGACGAAATGTTCTTGGAGTTCGGCGGAGTCAAGGGTAAGAGTGGAAGGAGCAGTGGACATGTTTTCTTCGACTGGGGTTGCTTTGGTTTTTCTGTCTTTCAAGCCAATTTTGTTCTCTTCTTATACGCTTTGAGAAGCGTCTGGGAATTCTCTAGGTCATCTTCTTTGACCCATTCGTTGCTGGCAGATGAGTACCCTTTCCAGGATACTAGATAGCGGCGGCGTGCTGCTGTTCCTTTGTGTGCGAGGATCGCTTCTACTTCGTACTCCTCAACCCCATTAATGATGTCAGGTGAGGGTTCAATGAAATTCGGGCCGTGGACCTCTGTCTCCCGATAGGAAGATAGTTCAGATGCATGGAACGTGGGGTGGACTTTCCATTGTTCCGGGAGCTGGAGTGTGAAGGTGATGGGAGATAGCACCTTGGTAATGGTAAAGGGGCCGTGCCGCTTCGGCGCCAGCTTCTTTGAGGGTAGGTGCGTCAATAAGTGCTCCGCTGATAACCAGACCTTATCTCCAATCTTCCATGGTTCATACTTTTTCCTGTGCGTCCTTTCGGCCATTCGTTGCATAGCGATGTTGTGGCAAGACACCGCTTCTTCTCTCATCTTCTGGAGGTTGGTAACGCGGTCCTCGGCCGCGGGGATGTCGGTAGGGGGAAAGGCGTAGGGTATACCTCTAGGCTCATAGCCCATCATCAGGAAGAACGGTGATGCGTTCCGTGCATCGTGCTTTCGGTGGTTATGCACGAATTCTGCCATAGGTAGATGCTGTACCCAGGTTTCAGGGTTCGACCGGCAGTAGATCCGGAGGTAGGTTTCGATCTCCTGGTTCAGCCTTTCTGTCTGTCCGTCGGTCTGAGGATGATATGCGGTGGATAGGGCAACCTCATAATCTAGTAATCTTCCGAGTTCTTTGGAGAACTTCGATGCGAACTGCGGTCCGCGATCTGAGATGAGCTTATCATGGAGCCCAAAGCGTAAGAAAACTTTCTTGAAAAATAGTTGCGCTACTCCTTCGGAGGTGATGTTCTTCTTGCAAGGTGAAATAATTACCCCCTTTGTAAGTCCGTGGTCTACCACGACCATCATAGAATCATAACCACCGCTCTCGGGGAGGTCGGTGATTAGATCAACGGAAAGCTGGGAAAAGGGGCGTACACCGGAAGAGCTGATCGGTTTCAGGGGAGGAGTAGTGGGGTGAGTGTCAGATTTCATCTGCTGACACGTGGCACATCCTTCGACATATTTCCTAATAAAGGTGCCCATCTGGGGCCACCAATAGTCACGTTTGACTAGTTCTTCTGTTTTGAATCTGCCGGGGTGTCCGGCGGTCGGGTGATCATGGTGAAGCTGCAAGATACGGCTTCGGAGTGCGGGGGGTGCGTAGGCACGGTTCTTGTACTGCAAGATACCGTTATCGAATTTCCAGTCGGATAATGCCGACTTCATGGGGGGCAAGCATAGCCCATCTAATGCGTCACTGGCGGTCTTGATGATGGGATCCGCCGTAGGATCATCGGCTTTCAGAGCCGTTTCTAGTTCGATGTCGATGAGTCGAACAAACATGTCATCAGGTAACAAGATGACGTCCTGGTTATCGGTCTCGGTGGGATGGTGATCAGGACGGCGTGATAAGGCGTCGGGGGCAGCGAGTTTTGTTCCTGCTACATGGTGAAATTCGAGGTCGAATTCATTCAAGGTGAGTTGCCAGCGTGCTTGGCGGCGTGTCAACTGTTGAGCGGACCTGAAATAGAGGAGGTTCATGTGGTCCGTGAATACGATCACCGGGTGTCCGTGTCCTTCGAGATAATGTCTCCATGCTGCTAAAGCACGGATGACAGCCAGTAGTTCTCTGTCATAAATCTGATAGTTCCGTTCTGCTGCATTAAGAGATGCAGAAAGATAGGCGCAGGGATGGTAAGCGCCGTTTTCATCGGTCTGTAGTAGCACTGCTCCAGTTGCTACTAGGGAAGCGTCAGTTGCAATAGCGAATTGCTTTGCAGGATCGGGGTTTCTTAAGACAGGTTCCGTCATAAAGCACTTTCTTAGTGCTTGGAAGCTGTTTTCTTCTTCTTCATTCCAGCAGAATGGCTGGGTCTTCTTCGTCAAGTTGTTCAGCGGTTTCGCGATGTCAGAAAAGTGAGGGATGAAGTGCCGATAGAAGTTGCAGAATCCGAGGAAAGATCGTACATCAGTGACAGTTTTCGGTGTCGGCCAATCTGCGATGCCCTTGAGTTTGGTAGGGTCCATTGCGATTTGTCCGGGTCTGATGATCATTCCGAGGTAGTCGACTTCTTGTACATCGAACAGGCATTTCTCTGCTTTCAAAAATAGTTTCTCTTTTCTGAGGATATCAAGTATCCGGCGTGTCCGTTTATGGTGTTCTTCGAGGTTCTCTGAAAATATCAGGATGTCATCCATATAAACGATGAGCCATCCTTCGTTCAGTTCCTGTTGGAACGTCTGGTTCATATAGGCCTGGAAAGTACCGGGAGAGTTGCAGAGACCAAAGAACATGACATTCGGCTCAAAGAGTCCGAATTCAGTCGTGAATGCTGCCTTCCATCTGTCTTCAGGGTGAATCCGAATGTTGTTATATCCGGATCGGACGTCCATCTTGGTGAAGTACTTTGCGTCGCGAAGTTTCGCTAAGAGTGGTGGAATGAGGGGAAGGGGATATGCGTTCTTTATCGTCCATTCATTAATATACCGGTAATCTTGACAAGGCCGTAGAGATCCGTCTTTCTTTCCAACGAAGAAGAAGCCGCTTGACTGAGGGGATTTCGAGGGAGAGATGAATTCCTTTTTCACGTGTTCATCAATAAATGCCTTAACCGCAACCCTTTCTTTCTCAGATAAGGGGTAGAGCTTGGAGGATTTGGGGATGTATCCGGGTTTGGTTTCAATCCTGTGGTCGATACCGGGTCGGTGAGGTGGCATAGAGTTAAGA